CTCCGTGCGACACTGATCGTCCGCACTCTAAGCGTAAGTCTTGCTCATGAGAGAGAACGCGGAGACGCAGCGAAGCGGCCCTGTCGAACTACGATAGACCCGAAAAACTGCAGTTAAAGGCAAAAAAAGAATATCATCTCTGTGTGAATAAATAAATGAGCAAACAGAAAGGCGAACCGTTGAAGGATTGACAGGCTTTCCACCTGTGTGCAGGAAAACCTGAGGGAAGGAGTGTCACAAATCTCGGTCGGGAGGTCCACGTCGCTAGGACTCGTCGAAAGCGTCGTTGCAAGTGACGGCACATGTGCAGCATGCGCACCAGCAGTTAGCTGATTTAACGCGCAAATGTCACGGTATTTCAAATCGATCAGATAGCTAGACCGTTTAGCTTGTGCGCGTCACCGCAACGTGGATTTCCCAACCGACACCCACTAGTGAGCAGCGAAGTCATCGTGAGGCACTGCGTTGGCGATGATCTGACGAAAGATGACGAAACAAACGCTAGACTAAAAGTGCAAATGACCTATCGAGCAAAAAAACCCCCGTGCAATAAATGATACCTCGTAAAAGCTTTGAGTATGCAATGATGCCATGCAGTACCACTTCACTGGGCCCTTTATCGATCCGCCAGCTCAGAAAACAAAGAGAAAGATAATCAAACATCAATCGCTGGCTACGATAGTTGCAGATTATGAGTGGAGTTTTGCATAGGTGGATCAAACTTGTTCCGAGAACACTTTTATTCTTTTTATTTCTTATTCTTTTGATTTTATTTAGATTCTATATATTCAAATTTTCTAGCACACCTCGAAGAGACGGATGGTCTACCCGAAAATTGCTCCTGCCAGAACGTTTTCAGGTGCGCATTCAAAGGAACGGTCCGCGATGACCTATGAAAATGCAAGAGGTTATGTGGGAAGGTAGTGCGGTCCGGAGTGGACAACCCTGTGCCAGTTTCGCGGCGGAAAGTTGTACGGTAAAGGAATTAAGGCGCAAAGTTGCTTCAGTGGTACATCCCTTTTTCCAGTGACTCCGCCTCCAGGTCGGCCTTCCAGCCAAAAGTAATGCTCCCGGGCAAGTATCATGGAGTGGATGCATTCATGTCTCTTGTAGAGTCATAGGGTTCATTACTGGGAATCAGCCGACGGGAATCGTCCCAGCGCACGGTCTTTTCGGTCTTTTACTCTACAGTTGTTTGAGGCTAGAGGAAGGCCTACCAAATGCATTTCTAAAGTTCCCTTTGGAAAATCATAGACCATTCACTTGGCGAATTTTCTTCCACATTTCTTCAACGTCACTTGGGCTGTTTATCGCGTACCGTGCCTTTAACGTGACAGCACCGCACTCACAACCCTCTAGTTACGTGTTCTAAAGAAAAATAGTCTTTGGAACATTCATTCGCGGAAAGTTAAAGGCACGTCTCGCGTTCATTTAGTCCTGTGGGCAAGCGTGGAGGATGTACTACTTCCGCAGCCCAAAAATACGTAACTATAGCGCGACTCGTTTGCGACGAGGCCACGGCTCCGCCCACTGACCACGACAACGCCCACTTTATTCTTGATTGGTACCTGTTGATGCTGTCGTTTCGCTGCTAACTCTCTCTCTTTTTCGAATGGTGAGAGTCAGATGATGAGGGGAAAGAGCTGGCATTACCAAACTCATCCGACCACGCTCATTCTTCGTCTTTCTGCACACACAAGCGCGGCTCGGCACGGGGTTCTGTGTGGGTGATTCCAGCGGGTTTTTTTCCTGCATTTCTCTTCATATCTTCACTACCACTCTGTCACACCCTGCCATTAGTATTTGAGCCGCACAGCTAACCATTCTTGAACGCGGGGAGTGCCTTCAATTGTGGTATGGGCAGGGCACGTCCTGCCGCTGGGGAAAATCCTTGAAAAATACGACCCCACCTCCCCAGCATCGTCCTCTGCTACGACCTCCCCTCCTCCCTTCCCCCATCCTCCAACGTTTCCCGCGTCCTACTACATTTTCCGAAATTCCTCATAAATTTTCCGGTTATTCCCCGAAAATTTTGCCGTCGAGCGGGGGATGCATAGCGCCGGTGAAACAGGCACAACGAAAGTAAAGTCAAAAACCGAAAAAAACTCTTTTCGCGACGCAGCCAATTTCTCTCAACGGCAAATACGACCCCTCTTACCCTCTTTACGAGCACGAACGACTCCCCCTCTCTACTAACGCAAAAAATTTTCACGTCCCGTGCGACCCTCCAGCGTCCAGTAACCTGATACGACCCCTTCCCCTCGCCCCCGAGAGTTCTCCCAACATAGGACGTGCCTGGTATAGGGTTTTCCTTTCTTCCATTGGGCATGTCTTCCTTAGGTCAACACCTTTAAGCGAGATGGAATTGTCCAGCTCCAGCCGAAGCTCCAGCCTGTCGGAAATCTGCAGCCGCCATAAGGAGCATGATATGCTTCAGCTACTGTCATTGCCACAGAAGGTTTTCATTTAGCTCCAGTGAGATTAGATGCCTGCGGGACGGGTGTCGAGACCAGCAGATGCGCCAACACAAAAACCACAGTCTTGTTCACTGCGACAGTCGGGCGTTCTAAGGAGTGGGTTTGGAGCTGCGCGCCAGCCTGTTCCCCACCAAGTGTGAAAGTTGGCAGGCGACCACAGTTGGTGCAAGAACAGGCTGGTGTAAATGCACGGTAACAAGGCTATTTTAAACGCACCCAAACGTTCGCACGAACAAGACTTACCTCCTCATCATTAGGACTGTCTGTCGGCGTATCAGCCAGTAGGAGTGCGCACACTGTTTGAAGCCGTTCTCAGCCTTTTCGTTGAAACGCGTATGCGACAAAAAGTGGTAGAAAACGAGTAATACGAAGGATATAATGCTGTCATGTCATTTGCTCGCTTCAACAACTGGTGCAGAAAGACTTTGGCACCCGCGGAAAACGCAGCCGCACTGACCCCCCGACATTCGCGTAATGGTAAGGAGAGTAGATTATGCGTATTGCGGCGTGCTTCACATGAAGGGCCAGGCCTCATACTGCAAACACTGCGATGACAAACACAAAGCTTCGTCGCATCCTCCGCCACTGCGACCTCTAAACGGCTCCGCGAACTCGCGAACCTCTGAATCTAGGGGATAGTGTTCAATATTTGTGCCTGCGAGTTGGTATAGGCGGAACTTTTAAACGTCCTAACTTTCGCACTAGTATCGTCGTCCTCGGAACCAGTCTACACCGCCGATAAAGCTGAATTTAAGGCCGCCCCAGTTACTTGTTTAGTATAAATGGGGAGGAGGTGACCATTAAAGAAGCGTTACTTTATCAAACAAAGTGATCAACTAGTACAGCTGGAGAAGGTGTCGGTCAATGCAGGGAGAAGGAAGTCAGATGAGCTCAGGAAAGATAAACAAAAGGAGTGCAGCAAGTAGCAGCGAAATAATAGAAGCTCAAATACAGCAGGACTGAAAAGGGAGCACAACAAGCATTGAAAGCTCGAAAAAAGTCAATTGAAAGACTGTAGCAGTTTCGCATAAGGACAACCATGTCCAGAAAAACCATTTCAATGGCGTACGGGATTCTCCTCATTGTCAGGAAAGGGTCAATTATTCCATAGATCCAGGACTCATCATGCCATGAAGCTGGTGCTTCCTAAGTATTTGATGTCTCCTCCCCTTCCCCTGTTTCCACAGGAACTGTTGGGGTGGGGTGGTCGATTTGCACTTGAACAAAATTTGTCCTTGTTATTAGACGCCTTCAATCGGTCATCAATGTTACCATGGGTGGATGGGAATTTTGAGAATTTGTCCTGCTTAAGGAAAAGATTACAACTGGCAGACAACTGTTTTATCCCTCTCTGTCTATACTAGGCGCGATGATAGACCTCAAGAGATAGAAAACTTCACATAGCCTACGCGTGCTCGATCAACTGTCACTGGGATGCACAGGCACCAAACTACAGTATTTGTTCGCTCGAGCGACATGTCAAAGGGCTGATTTGTCGCTGGCGTCACGGTCCTCAACGCAATTGGAAGCTAGACAAGCGACACAATTTGGTGAAAACAACAGGAAGGCCGCGTAACCCCCCCCCCAGACACCTTCACATACACAAGAGACAAAAACTGTTATAAAATGAATTCCGTGGCTTGGGCCCAACATACTGTAGCCTGTCCACGCTTAGGTCATCATAGGTCCTTATAGGAATGTCGCCCATGTGTATTCGATTCCAATGCCCATTTCGTCGGGATCGTCGCAACGTGGATCTCTCAACCATCATCAAGCGATTCATCTGAAGAACCGTGTGCACCTTCTATGCATCTAATATATTTTTGTCGCTTGGAATTTTTCAAAGACAAAAAAAAACAAGGAAGAACGACAAGTTCAGCGAGGGCATGATGATCCATATATCATAAGTCAAAGAGTCTAACAAGCCTCGAAATACAGCTCGGAACATGCACGAAAAGTCTGCCACCTTTACACCCCGAAAATTTTTGAGTGAACAGACCTCTTCTGCTGTCTCGTCCATATCGCCCGTACAAGCACTCGTGAGTTGTCCGGCAACACCTGAAGTAAGCAAGGCTTCCCGGTCGATGATAGTTGGTTAGTAGGCTAATTCCACACTTGAAAACTGCTGTTATTTCGTGAGTATCTTCTTAAATAGTGCCACTATCAACTGAGATAAGAGAAGCATGGAAAAGCGTGTTTGAGAATGAAGGAACGACATTTGAGGCAAGCTTTCTTCCTCTTGTGAGCTTTCAAGGTACCTAACCATAAGATATGGTGATAGGAGCGCTTCACTGCCTCCAAGACGCAGTGGTCCTGTGAACGAATTCAATTGTATTCACGCTCTAGAAAGAATGGTATGGGCATAAGTTTTTTGTCCACTAGAAAGTTTGCTCCAATCACAATTTTAAGCTCCACTGTGAATGTGCGCGAAATCGCACTTGAAAAACAATATTTCAACGATGATTTTTTCCCCTCCTTCTTCAGAAGTTCCACCGAAGTTCGCGCGTGTGAGTTTTGGCAGGAATGGCGACGAAGAAGCAGAGCTCGCTATTTTCATTCTTCACTCCAAAGTCAGGTTCGACGCCTTCCTCATCGACTCCCAAATCTCCTGCTGTCAAGAAATCGGTGAAAAGGGAAAACTTGGACGACGATTTCACAGATGAAGGTAGTTTCTCTCGATAAGTGTTCCTGAATTGAAAATTAATTGCGTTCTTCATTATTTCTCGTATAGGTTGATTTTCCTCATTCTTCAGAAAACATCTCCATTACATCATCCCCTTGTTTCCATAATCTGTGTTCGAACATATTTTAGAACCAAAACCTCTCACTTCAGCTATACATCATGGACCTTGAAAAAGACAAAAGATAATCTGGAACCTTCTAATGCTATCGCGCTTCGTGGTAGCAGCGGTTATCCGCACGTTATCTTCTAATGATAACAATCCATTCCGTTTAGACATATTATCTGATAACATATCACATTGATAGGTGCTTCGAATATGTTGCATGATGTATAATGATATGTTGAGGACGAATTCGAAAAAGTCCGTACAGCCATTGCTGCCGCGAACTGCGATAGCACCTTCTGGCATACACCATGCCCTCTACCTCTATTGAGAATCTTCAGTGGTCCATGAACGCGTTTATGGATTGCACAGAACCTTCGGAGGTTAACTGGCATGCAACACAGTATTTTCATCCGCTCAGAGTTTGTCACTAATAAGCTGGCTACGCAGGGACGGGAGGCTTGCTTAGCCTGGGCGAAAGCCGAACCAGAATTTGATCACCTCACTTTATGCGTGTTCATATGGGTGTGAAGGGCTGCTTCCCAGTCGTTGCTAAATAGGCGTTGCAGACGGGATGGCAAGCGCAGCATTCGCACCAGGACCCAATCCCCTCCATGTAGCAGTGTTCGTCGACTCGCTCGAATCTTCCTGCGTTTGCGTCCCTGAAGTCAACTGACTCTCTCCCTCTCTCTGTGCCTGTGTCCGTCGTCCACTACTCACGAAATACTCTGCTAGCGCGCAATGCCACGACTGAGAAGTAGGGCTCCACGGCTAAGCAGCACTTTTACATCCTGAAGAACTGAGGCCTGAATAAGGAAGGGATCAGGGAGTGGTTGAGAATTAGAGTACAAGCGTTCCACACATCCCGCAATGGTTGCTGGACTGTGCAGTTCCATCTATCGCTTTCTAATTCACGTCTTTTTATTTCCATAAACTTGGTTTATTTGGAAGTGGGGGGGTCATATTTCAGTGCTACTACTGCGTCCAAACAAAGGATAACTCGATGGCTCCTAAATTTAGGTCAAAGCACCCAAAGTAACATCTGACGAGTGGACGGATCCTGTTAGTTCTATGTTTGTCTAATTCTATATATCTTCAGAATCGAGGACTCTGAAGCGGGTTAACAACGACCATGAAGGATCTCCAGTCGCCAGGGTTAAAAGTACTGTCAAACGGCGTAGAGTCATAGTTTCGTCGGACGAGGAGGATGATGGCGAGAACGTCCTAGCAGTGAGAACTCCTCCTTCATCATTGAAGGTAGCGCTTGACTCTCTGGAGCAGCCTGATTGAGACTGACTCCCGATCAAGTGCTCCATCTAGTGTCTATATTTATAGGATGTGAACTCCACACCGACATCAAAATCGCAGGAAATCTCTACGCCGAAGACTGCGAGAGGATTGCGACCGCTGAAACCTTGCTCGACGCCACTATCAACTGTGCCCCGAATCTGTTCATAGACTCTTCTGTGTCGGGAGACATTGATCTGTAAATCTACCTATAATTTTGAAGTTTGATTATTTCCAAACGTTTTTCTTTCGTTAGAAACATGTGGCTGCCTCTCTCCTCGCTTCCCGATCAGAAAAATCAGTGATCCGACGATCTGGAATTATTGCGCTCTAAAGTAAGATGGATGAGTAAGGTACAACTATGCGTCGATAACGACTTTCGAGTATAAGAGATTCCAATAATCGGCAAATTTTGGCAGAAAACGCTGGTTCTTTCAAAACGTCGAATCACTGACGACGGGAGTGGATTAATACTCATCTGGTTCTTCTATCCCTCATGCTCCAAAGACGCAAAGTCGGGCGGTCCTCAAATTCCCTTTCTTCCCACGCTATACCTATCTTTCTCCTAGTTAGCCCTAACCACAGGGCATCGAGCGCCATTCTTCCTAAAAACGTCGAATCGCCCGTGCTCCTAGTTACATAAATTCCCGTCGCTAAGTATGAACGCGCCGTAGCGGGACATATGGGTGCTGTGGAAAATTGGCTAAATGTGGCTCTGGTGAGCACCCTCATGTATAGTTGAGCTAATGTGAGAGAGAAAATAGCCACTACGGCGCTGCCGCTGCGCGTGGGGATCGTTTAAAACTAGGAATCTTGTCGTTGAAGTAGCTAGGTTTCATCCTGCTTTAGAACGCATCCACCGCATCAGTTGACACTCTGGACCGCACGATGTACCAAGTCGACGCGAGCGAACGTAAGCCAAGAAAAGAAGAGCTGTCAGGAGATGAAAGCGGAAAGTTCCTCCATGAAACGCTTGAGTTTTTGAAGGTAACTTCTGTACTATTCCATACCTGTATTCTGTTTAGTTCTGACTGCCGCAGTCTGCTTGACACTATTCAACTATTACTACCCCAATTTTCCGAAAACAGGCCGGGTCTTGACGGGGGCAGATTTGGCTGAAAGTTGGGTTCTAGGGGTAATTCGACCTCCTGAACACGAATATCACATCCACTTGGCCTGAAAGTGCCTGGCGCCCGCGCCACAGGCGCCGGCGCCAAAAACCCTAAATCACCGAATTCGCTGAAAACTTGTCCCCAGGGGTAGTTTGACCTCCTGAACACGAATATCACATCCGCTCCGCCTGAAACTGCCTGGCGCCCGCGCCACAGGCGCCGGCGCCAAAGTACCCTAGGTCACCAAATCCGCTGAAAACTTGTATACGGAGGTTATTTGACATCTTGATTACAAATATCACATTCATTTTTGGCGCTGGCGCTGATGGAAGACGCTGCGATCATCTGCGCTCTGCTAAGGCTGAGCCTGACCTGAAGGAAATCACTCTTTCTCCCAGGCTCAGCCTTAGAAAAGCGCTAAATGGCGCTGGCGTCGAAAAATAAATGTCATATTCGTGATCAGGGCATCAAACAACCCCATTATGCAGGTTTTTATCGATTTTGATAAAAAGGGTGTGGCGCCAAATCAGCGCCTAATGGCGTCAGGGCTGAAAACTAATTCGGTATTCGTGATCAGGACATCAAATAACCCTACTATGCAAATTTACACCGAATTTGGTGAGAAAGGTGGCGGCGCCAAACTGGCGCCAATTTGGCGCCAGCGCTGAAACGAGTGCTATATTCGTGATCAGGACACCGAATTACCTCTGTGAGCAAAGTTTCAGCAAAAAATATTGACTTTTTGGCGTAGCAATAGATGAATAGTACCGTTTTCTTTTACTATGCAAACAGTACTCTATGGGTTTTTTTCTTATTTGCGTAGACCAACCACTGCCGGCAAAACTTCAAATTTCTAGTTCCTTTACAGTTTGCTTCTACCATAAGTGTTATTTTCTACCCATCGCTTTTTTCGTATTTAGCCAGAGAAGATTCGCGATGCGCAAGGCCATCGTCCTGACGATGATGACTACGATCCATCAACGCTTTTTGTACCAGCTAAGTTCCTCAAAGAACAAACGGAAGGTAAGTTTTGTAAAGATACATCCGCGATAACCGGGTGGGACGTTTTCACACCCGTTATTTCTTTCTCACGTGTGTCCTTCATGTAAGGAAGCGTCCAGTAAAGGGGAAGGCATAACAGTTCACGATTTCCGCTTAGTGTGTCGTTAACCAGTCTGGAGAGACTTCTGAAGAAACCTTTGAAATGATTTAGCTCACGTGCAATGGTGGAACTTTAAGAGCAAAAACTTTGATACTTTGCTGTTCTTCAAAGTAGGGAAATTCTACGAGACTTTCCATATGGATGCTGTAGTGGCCGTAGAATGTTTAGGACTTACTTTTATGCGGGTGAGTAGCGATGTTGCCTTTTGAGCTCGTTAGGTCTCTCCAGACCATGATTATCTACAATTTCAGGGCAACTATGCTCATGCAGGTTTCCCTGAAGCTGCGTATGGTAAATTTGCCGATCAGCTGGTGTCACGCGGGTACAAAGTTGCTCGTGTGGAACAAACCGAAACACCACAACAAGTTAGAGGAGCGAAATAAAAAGTTGCGAACGAAAGAGAAAGTGGTTCGCCGGTGAGTCGAATATGATAACTTGTTTGTTTTCAGCGACTGCTTCGGTGAACAGCTCATGTACTTTCTGAAAATCCTTCTCCATCAAAATGGGCATTCACTCTTCAG